GTTTTTGGAATCATGGAAACGCTAACACCCAAATCACACAAAGTATGGCACTCATAATATTTAATCTTAATCTTAATGGTAGGTTCCCACTCATCATAGAGTTTTCTAGGAATATAACTTCCAATTCAAGATTTTCTTCAAAATACTTCATCATAGCATCAACGATGTGTTTATTAAAAGCTTTATTTTGATTATAAGCATGAGGAGAATTCAACATGGATTGCAACAAGGAAATACAATCTATCAAAGAGCAATTGTCATAATTAAAGTCCTTGAAATCCAAAAGAGTGGGTTCATTGTTACTTAAAGTTTTGACCTCTCCAATCCCACTTTTATCAATTTTTGCATCTAGATTTATAAACTCCAAATCATTGGGACGATTTTTAACTAAAGTTGACTCATCTCCAGTCCCATATTTATCAAGATTTATATTAGAAAATAAAGATTCAATAGGAGTCACATCAATCACTTTAAGACCTTCATCATTATTTTCACGAAAACTAGAAGAACACACTTTTACAAACCAACCTCGCTTATCACGCATCTTAGCGGTTCTTTCTTTGCACTCATCAATAGAAATTCTCATAGATATAAGAGATTCATTAATATCATGCTTGGGTGGAATAGATCTAATTTTCAAAGAATCAATCTCAAGAGAAATTCTATCCACATTCCTAGCTAAATCATCGATCTTAAGCATTTTTTCTTCAACCAAAGCGTTGAAATTCTTTTGAGAACTAATAAATTCTTTAATATTGTTCTCAAGAACATTGCGCATCTTATTATAATTTCCATAAGAATTGTTGTAGGAATTACTATAATTATTAGAGAATTACTAGGAAACGACCCAGGATTAAAATTACCTCTATACGCGTTATTACCAAAATTGTTCCTACCAACAAAATTCACATCCATAGATTCATTATTATTCTCAATCAAAGTAGACAATGGAATATCATTGGGATCAATGGGATAACTCTTATTAGCAAACAATTTCATAAGTTCATCCATCTTTCCACTCAAAACATTAATCTCTTCAATCGCATGCACTTTTTTACTATTAGAAGATCTTTCGGTATGCCATTGAGAATAATTAGCCATAATATTATCTAGGAGTTTACTAGCTTCTCCAAATGTAATTTCCATAAAAGTACCTCCCGCGGTCGAATCTAAAAGATTTTTAGAAGCAAAATTCAGTTCGGCATAAAAAATTTGTATGATCATCCACAAATTTAAACCATGAGTAGGTCAATTTCGTATCATCAATTTCATCCTCTCCAAAGATTGTGCAACATGTGCATGATCAAGTTGCTTAAAATTCATAATATCGTTCCCAAGGGAGATGATCTTAGTGGGCGGAAAGTACTTGGAAATAAAAGCATCTTTACACTTAATCCATGAATCAATACTTTTTTTAGGCAAAGATGAAAACCAAGTTTTAGCACGATATTGCAGTGAGAATGAAAAGCTTCAATTTAACAATATCATTAGCCACATCAGCATATCACATAATTCAACGAAAGTATTTAGATGGGATGCGACATCTTCACTAGGAAGGCTGGAAAATTGTTCTTTCATAACAAGATTAAGCAAAGCGGCATTAATTTTATAAGATTCCGCACTAGTGGCATGAGCAATCGGAGTACTTTATTATTAGTGTTGGAAAAGTCACGCAATTTGGTATTCTCTTGAGTCATTGTGACAAAGCAAGCAATCTAACACACAAGCAAACAAAAGCAAATGAAAAGACGAATGAAAGAAGGGCGAATAAAAAGGCAAATCTTTTATGTTTTTTTGAAAATCGTTTTAAAAGTGGGGGAGAGGCAAATGGCAAATAATGTAATGCGAGAGATGGGTGTTTATGGTGGGTACTTGGTAGGCTTGATGTAGAACCTCCCCGGCAACTGCGCCAGAAATTCTTCCTGGTACTTCTTGAGCTCGCGTTGGTCTTTCCTTGAAGAGGAAAGGGTGATGCAACAAAGTAGAGATAAGTATTTCCCTCAGTTAGAGAACCAAGGTATTAATCCAGTAGGAGGCACAAGCAGGTGTCCAATCTATGCACCTACACAAACAATCAAACACTTGCACCCAACGCGATAAAGGGATTGTCAATCCCTTCACGGTCAATTGTAGTGGTGAGATCTGATAGAGATAGATATACGAGATAGCTAAAATGTAAAATAAAATAAAAGTAAATAAATTGCAGCAAGGTATTTTTGGGTTCTTTGGTTATAGATCTGAAAATATATGATGGAAAATAGACCCGGGGGGGGCATAGCTTTCACTAGAGGCTTCTCTCTTGAAGGAAAATAATACGGTGGGTGAACAAATTATTGTCGAGCAATTGATAGAGAAGCGCAAAGTTATGATGATATCCAAGGCAATGATTATGCATATAGCATCACGTCTGTGTCAAGTAGACCGAAATGATTCTGCATCTACTACTATTACTCCACACATCGGCCGACTCCTGCCTACATCTAGAGTATTAAGTTCATAAGAACAGAGTAACGCATTAAGTAAGATGACATGATGTAGCGGGATAAACTCAAGCAATATGATGAAAACCCCATCTTGTTATCCTTGATGGCAACAATGCAATACGTGTCTCGCTACCCCTACTTTGTCAATGGGTGAAATCACGCAAGATTGAACCCAAAACTGAGCACCTCTCTCATTGCAAGAAAAACCAAACTAGTTGGTCAAACCAAACTGATAATTCGAAGAGAAATACAAAGATATCAAATCATGCATATAAGAATTTAAAGAAGATTCAAATAATATTCATAGATAAGCTGATCATAAATCCACAATTCATCGAATCTCGACAAGCACACCGCAAAAGAAGATTACATCGGATGGATCTCGAAGAACATCAAGGAGAACATTGTATTGGAGATCAAAGAGAGAGAAGAAACCATCTAGCTACTAGCTATGGGCCCGTAGGTCTGTGGTAAACTACTCACGCTTCATCGGAAGGGCAATAGAGTTGATGTAGATGCCATCCGTGATCGATTCCCCCTTCGGCAGATTGCCGGAAAAGGCCCTGGATGGAATCTCACGGGAATAGAGGCTTGCAGCGACGGAAATGTATTTTTGTGGATGCTTCTGATGGTTTGGGAATATTTGGGAATATATAGGCCCAAGATTAGGGTTAGGAGACCTCCGAGGGGGCCACAAGCCAGGGCCGCCCCCCTAGGGCGCGCCTCTACGGCTTGTCATCGCCTTGTGGGTCTTCTGACTTCATCTCCAAGTCTCGTAGGTGTCTTCTGGTCCAAGAAAAATCATCGTAAAGTTTCATTCTATTTGAACTCCGTTTGATACGAGAACACGATGGTCTCTGACCAGGACCAGGAACCAATTCGAATTTGGATCTTGACATGTCGGTTGTTTTTAACCGTAGGCATCTCGCTAGGAAGTTGGTGGGCTCATCATGAATTAGGTCGGGGTGGCTAGTGGTTTCGGGATCCCGTAGAAAATGCGTCTTTTATGCCTCGGGTATTAGCCACAGCTCGTATTCATTCAGTAATTCTACCCCTTCTTCATTCTTGGACCTCGCTTCTGAATATTTTGACTCTTTCTGTAGATCTCAAAAATAAGGGGAAACAACAGAAACTGGCACTGGGCTCTAGGTTAATAGGTTAGTCCCAAAATAATATAAAATAGTATATTAATGCATATAAAACAACCAAAACAGATAATATAATAGAATGGAACAATCAAAAATTATAGATATGTTGGAAATGTATCAGAGGGCTGCGAGTATACGGTGTCTGCTAAAATTGCTTTAAGAATACGGAGTAACAGAGAAAACACAAAAAACCACGACCTTTTTTTGAAGGGAAAAAAACATGCACAACACAACGCAAGGATCAACCAAAAGAGAGGCTGAGGAGGCATAACACAACACGACACATGGATGAACTGGGTGTGTTTGGTAACATGTATGGACCTAGCCTAATTGTTTTCCTCTGATACATGTTGAGTGTAGACATGCTGAGTCCATGCATTTGCTGTTGTTTGGCAGCGGTTTATGCGCTGAGACATGCTGAGCCAGGACTTTATTTGGCAGCTTGCATGTTAGACATGGTGAACAATTTTGAATTTTGAATATTGTTTTTGAATGGTAAACAAAATTGAAAAAATGTGAACAAAAATTTAAACATATTTTGAAATTCTAAAATTTTATTGAATTTTTTTAAAAAAAATAAATTATAAATTTTTAAAAGATTTAAATAAAATTTGAAATTCTGATTTTTTTTAAATGTAAAGAAAAATTGAAATTCCGAACATTTTTTAAAAATCAAAACAAAATTTGAAATTTTGAACATTTTTTGATTTTTTTAATTCTATTTTTTTAACTTCAAACAAAATTTGAAATTTTGAACATTTTCTAAAAAATTGAAATTTCTAATTTTTTTGAAAATTTAAACAAAATTGGAAATTCCGAATATTTTTTTAAAAAAAATAAAAAAATAAAATTCTGAATATTTTTGAAAAATTATTTTTTTAATTATGATTTTTTTTTGTTAAATATAAAATTTTGATCATTTTTTGCATGAGATGGGCATGGCTGAGGGCCATTTTTTGCATCAGATGGGCATAGCCCACGTGAACCCATGCACCCTACCAAATAAGCAAAAGTGGGTCGGATTGAGAACTTTTGCCCTCATGCACCCTACCAAACATACTTAGTTTTTATCAATTTTATTTGTGGACAATATAACTATTACCATATATTAAACAACATTCGATTATCGATAATCCAGCAACAATGACCTTTAAAAAAATCCCATATACTCCCTCCGTTCCTAAATATAAGTTCTTCTAGAGATTTCACTATAAAAATTACATTCGGATATATATAAACGTTTTTTATAGAGATTCCACTAAAAAGATTAGATTCGGATGTATATAGACGTTTTTAAAGTATAAATTCATTCATTTTGCTTCGCGGCCAACCAAGCTCGCACATCTTTGCACAGGGAACCCCTCAGCCATTACGAGGGAACATAAATTGATCTCCTCAAAGAACAGAAGGACGAAACTGAAAGTCACCACACATTTGGTCATTCTATAATGAACTGACAAATCGAGTGTACTGATGGGCTTAGACGGGCAAAGCATATTGCCGATATATCAGTGAAGGCTTACACTCGCTCCTTCACCATCCAATTTTACAAGTACAACAAGGTAACAGGTGACAAGAACTATGTAGTGAAACAACAGTAGATCCCTGCAAGAGCGGTCTAATGTGCTCAGAGGGTGCCAAAATCAGGTTGGCCGCTCACCATCTGATGCAACAGGCTTCTGTGATGGAGTACTCTGATCAACATCCATAGGCGCGCTTGCTCTGGGAGGCGATGGCGGCTGCACCTCGAAGTCCGGATAAGCAGCTTTGTACCTTGCCCTCAGCCCTTCATCCACAAGCCTTGTTCCGCTTACCTGGTTGCCAAGAGAGAGCCATCTAAACAGAAAAAATAAATAAATACAAAAAGGTAAGTACATGGATAGTATCTGGTATGCAGAAGAAATATAAGAGGGGAAAGATGCACACCCAGCTTGCGTGTTATGCATTCTAGCAAACAGTTCGAGCTTCCTTGTCCTTGGGCTTATCCGCTCTAACATGGCGTACATCTGTACAGCAAAACAGACTTGAAGCAGCGTTTTTGAAACAAAAACTATCAGAAGAAATTAAAAGAATGCAGGTTTTCAGCTGTGTGGTTTGTATTAGATGTCAAGTTAGTACATGCATGTTTTAATATATGGGATCCAAATCGGTGTACGGATCTCTAGGTAGAAAGAACAATCTGGCAAAGCTATTGCAAGTCATCTAACTACACAGAAACAAGTAAAGAGGCATCACTTGTTCTGAAGCAGCTAGTATGACCAATTGAAGCCGATATATTACCTCGTCAGGTTTTCTGCTTGTTTCACGCACTTCAGCAACAATAACATCAGTGTCTATATTCCTGTTCACTAGGGGACTCCCTTTAATTCCAACAAGACAATGTTCTTTACTGTGGTTCAACCAATGGCCAGTGCGGCCAGTTCGAATAATGCGTTGAAGTTGATTGGTCTTCACCCAAATAATTTCCTCAACACGCTTGTATCCCCAGAGCTCCAAACTGAAGAATAAAAAGGAGGTACAGTGGATCAATGAAAACAACTATTTTCCAAAACAAATGTTTAACAGGAAATAAATAAATAACATTGCGCCCTTCAAAGTGGACACTAAGAGTAAGGAATGAATGTATATAATGCATAATATCAAATTGGGCAACTATCATCTGTTGAGTTACAGGTAAAGGGCCACAAAAAGCTAACCAATGGAAATAGATTTCATTGGAGTGAAAAACATTGTCAGAGAGATGTTACAAATATGAAGGATGAAGAAAATCTAGCCAAATGGCAATATATTTCACTCCTAGCATTTTTTCTGAAGAAAATTTAAAGGTTTGGAAACATACCACTCCCGGCCAAGTTCCATCGCACGGCCGGTGACCCATAAGAAAATCAAGCCATCCGTTTGTAAAGCAGGCACATTAAGAGTCCTCATTTCATCGTCAGCCATTGTGCCATATGGCAGTTCCATATGAATATCCCACGGGGGATCAGCCATAATTACCCCAAATTGCCCTAAGATGTCCATTCTGAAGTTCCGAATGTCACAGTTTATCCATTGTGACTCTCCAAGCTCTATTTCTGAACAATATTCAGCTCTATGGGGCTTTATTTGCCTAGGGGGAGCAAGGGTGCCAGCCATCATTGGAGCTATATCTGGTGTTTGATCAAGCTCATAGTGGACATACTTGCAAGTCTACAATTGTAGAATGCGTGTAAGATAAAAACAGATGCACAGGAAGAGATTAACATAAAAGGGTTTATGCCTCTATGGCCAACCTTAGTGTGGCGGCAGGTGTCCAGAAAAGAGCAATCTCCTAGATTTGTATCAGTATGTGGAGCAATAATTCGGCGAAAGTGAACCTGCTCCAAATGAAAGAAAATGTTGGACACTAATGATCATTAATAGCTAAAAATGTCTACTGAAACCAGTACAGTTTTCAAGCATAGTATTAAGAAAATTTATATGAAGATCTTAAACTGAAAAAACCATATGGTATTATATTGGCATATCTCAACTGAATAAACATTTAACAACTATATTATTTTCAGTTCAAAGCCATGTGTCAAATAATGACTCTTAGACTCGCTTCATCACATATATTAATTAAAATTGCTTCTATAAATCATTATCCAGAAACTGGAGAAAGAATACCCTTGAGTCCTGACATAGATTTGGAGCAATGAATGGCAACTACGATTATACCCACGCCAGTTCAGTTTCAATTTAGTGCACCAGAGCCTGAATAGGAGTGCAGACAACATAGAGAAGTACAAGATGGCGAAGAAGGCCACAAAGCGAGCTGTCAGTGAAGCAAGGGGTCAGGCGTATGAGGACCTCTACCAACGGTTAAGCACGAAGGAAGGCGAAAGGGACATCTATAAGATGGCCAAGATCCGAGAGAGGAAGACGAGGGATATTGGCCAAGTCAAATGCATCAAGGACGAAGCAGACCAACTCCTGGTGAAGGACGAGGAGATTAAGCATAGATGACGGGAGTACTTCGACAAGCTGTTCAATGGGGAGAATGAGAGTTCTGCCATTGAAACAGGACGACTCCTTTGATGAGACCAGCATGCGTTTGGTGCGGCGAATCCAGGGGTCTGAGGTCAAGGAGGCTTTAAAAAGGATGAAAGGAGGCAAGGCGATGGGCCCTGATTGTATCCCCATTGAGGTGTGGAAAGGCCTCGGGGACATAGCAACAGTATGGCTAACCAAGCTTTTCAACCTCATTTTTCGGGCAAACAAGATGCCAGAAGAATGGAAACGGAGTATATTAGTACCAATCTTCAAGAACAAGGGGGGTGTTCATAATTGTACTAATTACCGTGGAATTAAGCTGATGAACCATACATTGAAGCTATGGGAGAGTCATTGAGCACCGCTTAACAAGAATGACAAGCGTGACCAAAAATCAGTTTGGTTTCATGCTTGGGAGGTCGACCATGGAAGCCATTTTCTTGGTATGACAACTTATGGAGAGATACGGGGAGCAAAAGAAGGACTTGCATATGGTGTTCATTGGCCTGGAGAAGGCCTATGATAAGATACTACGGAATGTCATGTGGTGGGCCTTGGAGAAACACAAAGTCCCAGCAAAGTACATTACCCTCATCAAGGACATGTACGATAATGTTGTGACAAGTGTTCGAACAAGTGATGTCGACACTGATGACTTCCCGATTAAGATAGGACTGCATCAAGGGTGAGATTTGAGCCCATATCTTTTTGCCTTGGTGATGGATGAGGTCACAAGGGATATACAAGGAGATATCCCATGGTGTATGCTCTTTGCGGATGATGTTGTGCTAGTTGACGATAGTCGGACAGGGGTAAATAGGAAGTTAGAGTTATGGAGACAAACCTTGGAATCGAAAGGGTTTAGGCTTAGTAGAACTAAAACCGAGTATATGATGTGTGGTTTCAGTACTACTAGGTGTGAGGTGGAGGAGGTTAGCCTTGATGCGCAGGTGGTGCCTCAAGATATTTGGGGTCAATGCTGCAGGAGGATGGGGTGATGAAGATGTGAACCATCGAATCAAAGCCGGATGGATGAAGTGGCGCCAAGCTTCTGGCATTCTCTGTGACAAGAGAGTGCCACAAAGGCTTAAAGGCAAGTTCTACAGGACGGCGGTTCGACCCGCAATGTTGTATTGCATTGAGTGTTGGCCAACTATAAGGCGACATGTTCAACAGTTAGATGTGGCGGAGATGCATATGTTGAGATGGATGTGTGGCCACACGAGGAAGGATCGAGTCCGAAATGATGATATACGAGATAGAGTTGGGGTAGCATCAATTGAAGAGAAGCTTGTCCAACATCGTCTGAGATGGTTTGGGCATATTCAGCGCAGGCCTCCAGGAGCTCCAGTGCATAGCTTACGGCTAAAGCGTGCGGAGAATGTCAAGAGAGGTCGGGGTAGACCGAATTTGACATGGGAGGAGTCCGTTAAGAGAGACCTGAAGGATTGGAGTATCACCAAAGAACTAGCTATGGACAGGGGTGCGTGGAAGCTTGCTATCCATGTGCCAGAGCCATGAGTTGATCACGAGATCTTATGGGTTTCACCTCTAGCCTACCCCAACTTGTTTGGGACTAAAGGCTTTGTTGTTGTTGTAGATGAAAGCTAAAAAGGGTAATTTTCACATAATATGTTTCATATAATTCTATCTTAGAGGAAGAATAATTGTGGCCTAGCACTTTATGTATTATATAGACAAAATGCAACCTGAAAATGTAAAGAAGAGATTACATTAACTATACCAGATAGATATTTGCTAAAAAGAAGCAGTCTGAAGGCCAGTTACCCACTATGTTGGTTCAGACAAATAGACAATAAAAACAAATGCGAGGAAGTATACATTGAGTAGGCAAAATGAGTGTAATAACATTGACCTTAGCACAGGAAACAAAGGAACCAGATTGGCGTCTGCAATCTTCTTTAGTTAAATTGGTGCAATACTCCTTCAGCTGGGAACCACCCTTTGTTTTGAACTGCCAGATACAAAATCAAGGTTAGTAAAAACTAAAAATCGATGATAACCAAACGGCGGAAGATGCCAACCAGACCGAATGATCCATTGTGAATCATAAAACAAATTAACGCACATGTAATATGTGAAAATTACTGTTATTGGGTTTGTAAAGTTGACAACAGGAAGATCATGCTGGAAATGTGTAACATAAACACTGTTGCTTATCTTGCACATTTATCCTTAGTGCAGTAGACCATACAGTGGCTAAGCAAACCAGTTCATTTACCATTACAAGACTAACAGCAGTGGTGGAGGGCCTTGGAGCATACTTACTAATTCCATTCCAGTCACCTTTCCAGATGGTGTTTAAAACAGAACGTTTTGGCACCGGGGCACTCCCGTGTACCATTCCGGCTTTCAATAATTAATGTTCAATCGTTTTATATGTGTATACATTCAAAGGCGCATACAGAAAAGCAAAAAAATATAAAATATAAATGGACAAAAGAGGCTAGTTGCGGTCAGGCCTGTATTGCTTCCAGCCAGAGCAAGTCAACCCATACTTGCAAGGATTAGATGTATTATATGTTCAATGTTTGGAAAAGAAAAGCATCTGCCCAACATTATGGACACATCGTGGAGACAGGTAAGAGAACCACGCTGAGCTGATACAGCAGAGCACAAATTGTTGTTTGTCCACCGATACCAGTATGAACTGCATGGTATTTTTTACCGAAATAGTCTGCTTAAGCCGGTACCAGAACAATAGCTTCTGAGACCGTTTTGGTTCAGAGAATGGAATGATCTGTTAATACGAGAACCAGGCTGAGCTGATACAGCAGAGCACAAATTGTTGTTTGTCCACCGATACCAGTATGAACTGCATGGTATTTTTTACCGAAATAGTCTGCTTAAGCCGGTACCAGAAC